GGAGCCTAGGCCAGGCTGTTCTCACATCAATCCCCAGGGTCTGGTGAGTGACAGGGAAGGCCCTGCAGCCCAGGATAACCCAGCCATCCCAGGGTCCCTGCCTGCATCTTCCAAGCTGGACAACTCCAACTAGTGCTTGCTACGTTCATGTCTCTTTTGTTCCTACACCCCAGAATGTGATGAAATCTTTCAGAAAGTCCAGCCTGTCTCAATTAAGACAAAGTAAATGAAGAATGAAGTGTTCACACTTGGACCAGAGCACTAAAGAAGAAAAAGGCTCCTGAGCAGCACATTGGTGGCAGCAGTATGCCAGTGGCAGCAGTACACAAAGCACCTTTCCCTACAGGTGAGATAAAACGCAAATGAATGATGTGCCATCGGTGATGGACATTTGCCTCAACAAACACAGAAACAGTTATTTCTTGCCTATAAAGGGCTAAAAGGAAAGCCTGGTGCAGATAAGGGCCTGTACAACAGCTATAGGTGAACTGCCTTTTTGACTCTGAGAGCTCATTGGCTAAAGCAGACAAAAAACAGTGGTCTGTTACAGAGGTCCTTGTGTCCACAAGATCCAAGTGAACTAGCTATTTAGGAGAAGGCCATATTTTCCTGATACTTAGAAAAATCGCCCTTGAGCCCTCGTAAAGTAGGCAAAAGACTGGTGTAAATTTTAGAACAGCCTCTGCCCCTTTCATGGGGGAAAGTCGCTGAGGCCAAGAAAAAGGGAACAGCATGCTCAAGGCCAAAGCAATGAAAGGATGGGCAGCCACCTCTCCAGCACGCTCCTGCGCCAGGGTGCTCCTGCACCATCATGCACATCACGCAGCCACAGCCGAGATCGCATGCCTGACACACTCGAAAAGCCTGGGGTCAAGCAAGGCGCTGCAGTCTTAGGCTTTCCCAGCTAAAACATCCCATGAAAAATCCCTCTGCAGCTGCCTAAATCAATTAGCACCTTACTTTCTCAAAGCAAAAATAATGATAATAATAATAATAAAGGTTCATCTGTCACCAAATACTAAAGACCAAATAAGTTCTCCCAGAGCAAGCATTTTAACAAATATCAAATACCAATGAATACATGCTAAAAGAGCTCCATAAAAAATTTAAAGGATTACCCGGATAACATATGGGTCTAGGCAGCAGTAAGTTTTTGTTTTTTAAAGCAGTAAAGGCTATGAGAAGGCAGCACACAGGGAAATCTAGCTATTTTTAATGCAATACATTCACAGCCTACCTTTTCAGACCCAACAACACACTCACAGGGCAGTATGACAGAAAAAAAAAAAAGGAAAAGAAAAGAGGAACAAGCAAAAAATTAGAAACACACAAGAACAAAAATAATTTTGATAGCTACAACACTACATGTATAAGAATTTGCCATGGCTTTGATGAGCAGGGCACATGTGAACTTTTAAGTGAAATATCCCTGCACCTAGTGTTACCAGAAGTCTGGGACCTGAAGTTAGAATTATCTGTCATAAAGCCTATCAGCATAGTCAACGTGTCAAACCAAGACTGGACTTCCATCTAGACATTTCCTACTGAGCTACAAAGTACTATCTCATTTCAGGGGGAACACTTTCTCCTTCCAGGAGTTGCAGGTGAGAGTGAAGCTCTGTTCCTGCACCAAATCATTCCTTCAAAAATTAAAGACCTATAGAGTCATGAAAGCAACAACAGATTAACAATTAGAGGAGAATGTATTTGATTTGAGTTCACTGGCGTCATCATCTCACTGAAGTTCCAATGATGACTGAGTGTGTATGATTACGGTCATCCCACTAGAATAGAAAGGGCACACCATGAGGGCAGTTTCACTCACTGCTGTATTTCCATTGCCTACAGAATGCCTGGCACACAGTGGCTCCTGAGAGCTGATTGTCAACTATTATCAGCCAGTATATGAGAGGCACCACATCCTGACAGGCTCTTGTTCCACCAAATTGTGAACCTCGCAGCCAAGATGTTAAGGACTGAAAAATGTCACTGGTGCCTCATATGGTAAAGGAAGAGGGCACTAGTTAAGGGGTCTGAGCAGGGTCCCAACCCAAGCTGATTTTAAGGCTTCAACCGCTCACCTCCTCTCTGTAACAGGGGGACAAGCTGCTCCCTGGCAACCCTGCAGATTGTTATAAGGACTGAATAACAGCAAATGCACGAGCTGTCTATACTATGCAGCCCTGCTTTATAAGGGATGGCTACTGTGGGCACCTCCTTGGCCTGCTGGCAGTGTGGGTCCTTCACCAGGCTTAGCAGTAGGCAATGAAGTTGGTGGAAAGGCTCCAGGCTTTGGAGTCAGACCTGATGTGGACATCAGCTCTGCCACGCGGGAGCTGCCCGGGTTTCCAGCCCCACTTCAGTCATATGGGAGCAATCCCATGGAGATCACAGGGCTGCTGTGAGGATTAAATACAGATCAGGTCTATGACATGTCTTTCCCTTTCCTTAAGCCAAATATGCACATGCAGGTGAGGAAATGAAAATTCCTTCCAGACCCTGCAAAGCACCACTCACAGGTGTGACTGGGGCTACTCTGTGCTTCCAACTCCAAGAGCTGGACTTGGCCTACTTTTTTTCCTCAATTCTGTAACACCTTCTCCTCAGACTTACCAACAGCCAGAAAGTCACTGTTTGACCTTAGGTGAATTCAAGAAACATACTGAGCACCTAATTTGCAGCAGGCACTATGCCAGTATGCACATTATGTCATTTAATCTTCACCTCTAAATTTAGTGGATCATCCTCTAAATTCTACAGATGAGGAAGGAGAGACTCAGAGTGACCAGGTCCCCTGCCTAAGCCAGTAAGTGACACAACTACACTGTGCACAACTTAGCAAAAGGGGACTACCTCTTGGCAAACAGTTGCTGCCTACACCTGTACCTCGTTATCTTCTGCCTGACAGCCACAATGGCAACACGGGAAACAGAGCAGCAGGTAGAGAGTGGAAGTAAATGGCAAAAAAGAGCTGCTCTGAAATTCTGATTGGAAGTAAAGTTTCTGACCTAATGGCAGGCAAGACATGAAGACTAGCCTTTTCCTGCTCTAACCAACACTCCTGGGTATATAGAGAACACAGACATACTTTGCATTCATATAAGGTAGCTCTTGGGCCGGCCCGTGGCTCACT